AGCAGACTGCCAGCTCACTGCCTGCCTGGTTCCGACCCGAACTGAAGGAAACAGCAGCGGAGAAAAGACCGGCAGCCCTCTGCAGATGGAAGGGAATAAAAGTAGCGGAGCTCCGCTTGCCGCTGTGATAATTATTCACACTTCCATTAGCTAATTAGCCCTCGGCCATTTGCAAAACAAAGAGATTCATTAATGTTACATTCAGGAGCACTCAGGAAACTGTCTGGCGATGTAGAATATTCATACTGACAAATTAATAACTCCCTTTGCGTTAATATTTAAGTTCCGATTGAAATTGTTTATAAAAGATGATGCTTGAGGAGAATAAAGAGTGTTCAGCCACACTAATGGAGCGTTAGCGGAGGAAGCTAAATGGATTTTTCCTCGTTTGTTGTGAACGATTGTTGGTGCTCTGGTGTCTTATTTCCCAAATACGACGACATATTACGACCATTAAAGATATAAAATCATAATAATTACAAAATAAAAAAGGGAGTGTATTTCCGCCAGAAAACTAAAAAATTTTTGGATTAATCTCAGAAATATTCCAGAATTGTTTTTGAAGTTTATCAGTTTCAAAAGACATCTTGTTTGACTTTTCAAACTCAGAAATTTTTTGACTTGGACTTCAGAAAATTTCTGAAAATCTCAAATTTCTGAGATTTTTTGGCGAAAATTTACTCCTCGTTTTTTTATATATCAAAAATGGCCCTCTTATGGCGTTGAAGTTTCCTCTGTACTTAGCTACTAATAAATGTGATAGACTTTATGCACTGTATATGCGACACATAGGGGCGCTGAGCTAGCAGGGGCGCTAAAACAATGGCGGAAACCTTATTCCTGGTGGGGAATGGGCGTTTTTTCTTTTTCGTTTGAGTCGTGTTGTCCTCAGATGACGGGAAGCTAAAAGAAAGCTTTCCAAGTCTCCATCTTTCAGGAGCAGAACACTAAGAATGGAAGAGAGTTGGCTGACATAGGTAAGTTATTTCAGTCTATCAAAAGGAGGCTTGTAAATATTCAGGTTAGCTTAAGTTACTTGCAAAAAGTCTATTAGCTACTGATTCAAAGCATAAAATATGAAGTTCAACACTGAAATTGAAAGGTCGTCAGCCCCCGATACGAACCGCCAAAATGAGCTCCTGCTGGCCTAATGATAGAAGAGGCTCCTCCTGTCAGTGCTGCAAACGATGGCCCGTAAATCATTGCTCGTTCTAGTTACCTGCAGGCTGAACAATGCCTTGACCTTTTGCTACATTACAGCCGCACATATTAATGCGTTTTATTGTGGATTTTAGCTGTGAAAAACTGTAAAGGACAGAAAAGTGCTGTATGGTTTGCAAAATAGTTCCAAATTAAGATATTAAAAGTGTCCACACTTTACTCTCCATCCCCAAAAGAAAATTTAGTGCGACCAATCACTGTTAAATTCATTCGTGTGTGTAATTTAATTTCTTGTGTAAATCCATCTGGACAACTATCAGTCTTATACTCAATAAATGGAAGAGTGGCAGGAAAAAAAAGCCAGTGTTGAAAGAAAGTTATATGATATGGCTGAAAAACGTATCACGATACAAGTGTCTCACATCAGTCGATAACAATAATAATTGATTAGTTTTTTATCGTAAAAATCTGAAATGCTGCCGAACTGGTGGTGTGACCTTTCCTGTTTTATCTGCAATTTTCACTCCATGTTGTTCATATTTCAGTAGTTATGAGGCACAGTGGCAAAACCTGAAACTGCTGCTGCACAACTTACTCAACAGGTTGTTGCTAGGTAACCAATGAGCGAGTGAGTTAGTCCATGCCACCAACTTTGCTTAGCCTTAGCTGATGTTTTTCCTCTGTCTATAACTCCCAGAATGCTGGGTTTTTCTGGTTTAGAGTTGAGTGAAATTATTGAATATTCTATTAGACATATTATCTATTGATACAGGTCACGTGTCTATCACAGTATATAATTGTTATTGATTTATTGTCCAGCCCCAATAGCAATCATGTTGAAGAAGGAAAAAAATGTCAATTGGTCATGTTAGAACAAAACTAACATTTATTACGCTACTTGGAGGAAACTAAAAGAACATGGTAGTGGCAGTATCATGATGTTGGGATGACTTTCTTGATCAGAGGTGATGAAAGACAGATGAACCCAATTATATAAAGAAAATCTGTTAGGAGCTGAGAAAGACTTGTTTGGATCTATATAACTACAGAGTATATCATAGCAAACTAATGTGTTAAAATGGCCCAGTCAAAGTTCAGACCTAAATCCAATAATACTCTTTGCGAGTTGTGAAAGTTTTTGGTAACATATGTTCTCCATCTGATCCAAGCCTGAGCCGTTTTTGCAAAGACTGGTTTCATGTCTCTTAACGCCGAAACGGAGCCGTTTGGAGAAGAAGAGAACGCTCCTGCCCGCTCCCCGAAGGCTCATGTGAAGAGCTGGCGAGTCGTGTTTGGTCTCTGGCAGCCACCCAAGGTATTCCAGTCATTTCGGAAGGGGAATTCTTCAATCGCTGTTAAGGCTGGAGCCATGTATGGAAAACTGCTGCCTGGGCGGCGATGGTTCCCACTGTTTGGGTTAAAACGCCACGTGGGATCACATCAGAACTCTGCATGTACAGTCCCACTTTTCAGCATCAGCCCTTCCTAGGATGCCGGCCGCAGTGTTGAAATAGAAGGATGAAGATGCACAGAAGAGTTCAAAGTAATGTTAACGTTGCACCGTTTCGTTTATCTGCTCTGGAGGAAAACCTTCCAAGGCCGTGGTTCTACTGGGCTCCTCCCAGTTGGGAATGTGGAGGAAGAGGAGAACCTCGGCTAACCTTGCCTGTATAAATAAAGATAGATTCGTTAACGCTGCGTCGCCCTCGACGTGACCATGTAGAGGCGTGGGAAGAGCAACATGACAGAGCTACAAGAAGGCTACTTCCTGCTGATATGTGATATTTATAAGATGAGGAAATTATTTTGACTCGGCACGTAAATGAAGGAATGTGAGGAATTTATAAAATACACGACTGATGAGAAGTTTTTCCTTCAGATTACATGTTGCCTGTGATTGCATGAATAACAAGAAGTGAGTCCTGGGCGAGCGCCGTGCTGCCCCACCTATCCTCTGGTTTCACCAAGCACAAACTCTGCAGGATTCCTACCAAAGTATGAAATTTGAGTCATGTTTTTATTCCAGGTGTAGGAAAAGGAAGATACAGAAAGTAGTTCTTATTTCCAGTTTCGTAGTCTAACAGTCGAGTCAAGTTACTTTTTTAAATCATGTCCTTTTACTCGTTTCTCATTGTTTCTCATCGTTTTTCCCGTTTCCTAATTTCTTTCCATTTTCCTCCATTTCCTAATGTCTTTCCTTACGTTTTATTTTACTTTCTTCATTCCTTTTGTCCCCTCTTCATGTTTCAGTTTGTCTTTTTACTCCTTCCTTGTATCTGTTCTTCTGTGTCCTTCATTCTTTCCTTTCCTATTCCCATTTCTTTGCTTGTTTTCTCATTCCTCTTTGTTTCTTTCTCATATCTATCCACCCGTTTCCTTTTTTCATTCCCTTCTTCTGTCTACACTTGTCCTTCTGTCTCCTCCTTTTAGTTGTTTTCCAAATTTATCCATCTTCAAAGCTGTCGATATGTGTAGTTTCTACCCATCAGCAGCAATGCCCGTTCCCTCAGACAGCAGTGACGCCATGTGCTTTATGAACAAGCATCCCCCTGTTGGGCGTCGCAGTGTGAATGATTCCATCACCTGCAGGAAACGGGCAGCCAAACGCTGGTCTTCACCTCCAGATGGGTCAGAATTTGCTTTGTGCTTTTCCTCAGGAATATCTTCATCAATTCACTCAACTCTTCTCCAGTGGGAATAAAACTTTTTCCACATCATATCAGATTCACTGAGGAGTTGGCACAGATTAAAAATGTTAATTTGAGATTGGAGAAAATTCATTTTGTCTCTAAATTACGCTATCTGATGGATCCAGCTTCACTCTTTAGAGATTCAGCAAAACAAAAAAACAACTACTATTTTTTTTTTATTCTGATTGATTCATTTTTAGCATCATTTCCAATGATCCAACTATTCAGAACCATCTCCACGACAGTATATTGTTTCTACTGCCCCCCAGTGGCCAAATGTAATTACATTTATTCCTTTTTTTGTTACAGTAAAAATAATTGTTTTCTGTATATTTCAGTCAGTAAATGTTACTGGTCACTAGTGTTTGGCCTACAGTGTGTTAAAATCATTTGCTTTGTCCCTGGAGGACATTACATTCAAATAATTATGAAATATTTTATCAGCTACCACTCTGCTCTTTTCCCCTCACAGCTGGACAAACTTTCCATTACGATCAAGATCATGTTGCCATGGAGACTCAGTGGAGTAACACTTGAATCCTTTATAAAATTTCTTAAGTATTTCAAATCGTTGGTGAGTATCAAAGTAAGTAAACACTGACGTTTTTCTTTTTTTTTTTTTTTTGTCACAGATCAGTTTTTTAGTTGCAATAAAACACAAGTGAGATGATTTGTAACTGTAGGCAGATCAAGAACACAAAAACAAAGCAAAATGTCAACACAGTTTATACAAGCGGAAACTGACCCGGAGTCAGTTCTTCAGGCTTCCTGGAGCAGCGTAAACCGAGAAACACTTAATGACAACAAACCTGATCGGAACAAAGCTCAACTAAAAACCTCAAAGCTTTCGCTGCACACGAGTTCTTTTAGTCGTCAGAGGCAGAACCGAACTGCGGATCTGGGCGCAGCGATCAGAACACGAGGAGGTGGTGGAGGGGGGGGGGGAAAACAAAGCAAAACAAAAAATGAATACTGACGTCACATAAAAATAAACGCCTCTCATGTAGTACCAATATGCAGCTTATTTATGTCTTAATGCAATCTGTAGGTTCGATTGAAACGATGGAGGTACGGTCCAATCTGTCTGCTCTTCAACAACAACAACAACAACAACAACAAAAAACAACCATTCTTAGCTGTTCTTTAGCAGTGTGAGGTCATGCGAGTCATGACTAGGAGTCCGAAATGGAAAAAAAAAAAAAGTTGTAGAAACTCAAAGAAAAAAAATCCACTTCCTAAGTTTTGTTCTGGGTACAAATGAGAAGAGGCTTTTGTTACGTCTTTAGCTTCTTTTCGGAGGACGACAAGCCCAACTCGGCCTCCTCCGACCCGACGTGAGTCCGCTTCAGAGCGCTCTGCGCCAGGCCCTTCTCCCTCTGCGGCCTGGGTTCTTCGGCTAGCGTTCCGATCTCGTCCTCGGACTCCGAGGACGCGCGCTGATTGGACGGCGAGACGGGTCTGTGTTGCCCGTTCACGCCCGGACTACGTCGGCTTTGAGAGACGCCGTCCGCGACAGTCGAGACGTCGTTGGCTTCTCCGCCATTAGGGCTGCCGAGTTCATCCAGTAACCGAGGCGACGCGACGGAGCGCCCTCCCTGCTCAGTCCTGTCACTCCCGTTGTTGTCTTGGCTTTCCGGAGACATCACCGGACTCAGACACACGAACTCCGACGGACTCAGGCGCTTTTCCTCCTCTCTGGAAGCGGAAGCCCGGGGTTTGATCTCCAGGGAGTTCGGCTCGTCATCTGACGAGGAGGACGACAGGTCGTCGACGGAGATCGACGGGTAGCTGTACGAGTCGATGGCTGAAAACAGAGCCTGAATGGACTCGGGTCGGTTTCCGGCCCTGGAGACCACGTTCATGCGCCGCCGCCTCACCACGTTCTGGCGTCGGACGGCGCTGCGGCGCTCCTCGTCGTCGCTGCTGGAGCTGGAGGTGGACGTGGAGGAGCTGGAGGCCTCGGCGGGGAGCGACGGAGAGTTGCTGGGGCTGGAGAGCGTGGAGTTCTCTCTGGGGCTTGGCGAGCGAGGACGGGGCATCGGGTCAAGCCAAAACTCACTGGAGTCTGAGTCCTCATTGGCCAAGAAGCCCGACTGGTGTTGTGGGCGTCTCCTCTGTCTCCTGGGACACTCCTCCCCATCTTCCCCGGCGGCTCGGTCCTCACCGCCTGAGGCATCGGGTCCCGCCAACGAGGAAGACGAGGAGTTGTCGGAGTCGGTGCGGCGGTCGGCAGCTGACGCGACGACAGGAGCCGCTGATGCGGCCCGCGTGGAGCGGCGGCCGCGGGCGTGGAGCTGCATGATGGCCTCCTCGCTGAGGTCGCTGTCGGAGTCTGAGCTCCAGCCCTCGATCTCCCGGCGCACCAACGAGTCGAAGAAGGCCATCATGCGTGGGTCCTCCTCTATGGACTGACTGACGTAGTCGTGGGACAGGCCGCTGCCGCTGTTGAGCACCAGGCTGATGTACTCCTCATGGCTGTAGAGGCTGCGGGAGCGGTCCTCCACCCGGCCCTCCAGATCCCCCTCGCTGTCGGGCTGCCGGTACGGACTCCACACCTGGGTCAGACGGAAACGTTGAAGAGCAACGAGACGACATCGCCAAGTCCATCTTTAATACTTTAGCTTCGAAGTACACAATGCTTGACGTCTTTTTTGTAAAACTCTTAATGAACCTGAAGCTAACAGCTAATTTGAGTAAGACAAAGACTAAAGGACTTTTCTTCTTAATGGACTTTGGCCTGGAAATCATCATAGTGGTTCAAGCAAAAACCATTTTTACCAACCTTTAAACTGCTGATTTTTATAGAAACAGGTGATCATTTACACTGGAAATTGAGAATGGACGTGGTGTACCAGAAATGATTTTCCTATGTGACACTTAGACACGTCACAAAAACAGATTTTTCTGGATAATATGTTGTCCCAGACGTTTGGTGTCAACCTGGAGACACACACTTCAGGAGATTTCTTGTAATTTGGCGGCTTGGAAATCCATCAGGTTGCAAAAATTATTCAGACATTCTGAAACCTAAAGTACCACTCACTACCTGTCACTCTTAAATTAAGGCTCATTATACTGTCACTATACATAATAATATCATAATGTAAAATGATAAAATATTGTGTACTGTCTTAGAAAGTTTATTTGCTAAACTAATATTTAGGCCTGTCGCAATAAACAATAAACCAATTAATCGCATGATAAAATAAAAGAAACTCACTAATTTTCATTTGCTTGATTTATTGTTTTTCTCTTTTTACTAGAAACTGGATGATAAAAGTCTTCAGTCTGGTGCTTTGAGCTCAACTATCCCTTTATTTTTAAAGATAATTTTGTCTACAAGGACTTCATAATTAATTTTATTTGTTGTTTTCTTTATTTATTTTTGGATACTTTAAATGTCTTCCAGTTCCAGTGTTTAAATGTTCATTAGAATTTAAAGTTTATTGATCATTGAGAATCTGTTCTTGCATTATTGCACCTTCATTACTTGAAAACAGTCTCAAAGCAACAATATTATCGTTTATCGCAATAAGTTCTGGAACAATTTATCGTCCAGTAAAGTTTGTCATCATTATAGGCCTATTAATATTAATTTAGCAATGTGCTACATTTTTGCTTGAGACCATTAAAACAACATATATGGTATAAATCAAATTAATATATTAGTAATAACCAACCGATTGCATTATTTTAACAGCAGCAACAACAATGAAATAAAAGCAATTAATGACAAAATATTTTGTGCAAACGCCAATACTACTTTGAAAACATGGTATTTTTATTCAAGGAAACGTAAGAATCTCAGTTTAGTCCATGTGTAGCGTTGATGGTGACGTTGCCTCTCTGAAGGACAAGATTACTGTCAAAGTGCAAAAGTTTCTTTAACGCGTCAATCAAACCGACTGAACGAAAAGATTCTCCTCAACAGGGAACGACGAAACTCGACTCCTAAAACGACGGCAGAGATGCTTCTTTGCTCACCTTGATGACTTTCTCGACTCCGGAGGAGCAGATCATGTAAGAGTGAGGGTTGAAGCGGACCTGGTTCACAATGGAGCGGTGGCCCTTCAGAACCATGAAGGCTCCGTTCACCACGCGACCGGGCCCGCCTGGGGACAGAAGGCTCAGCGTCACGACACGACCATATGCTAAATATATATATTATATATATATATATGATCTTCCTGTTGCACAATTGACTTTATTAAATGATGTACATGGAACATTACATAGAAAAAACATGACAAGAAGAAAAACTGAAGAATTACTAAATAATACTGTCTCGTGGTTAAAACACACAAAGGTGAGCAATTAAAAATCGTTATTTTATTGTGAAAATTTATCATAACTCTACCAGTGTGTTGATCATAGTTTGTAGAATGAACAATAAAAAACACATTTAGTAAGTTAGTAAAATAAAAGAAACTTTAGCATAGAAGGTAAAAAAAATATGCAAATGTAATTTAGAAAATCTGAAACTGATTTAGCATTTTCTTTGAAAACCTTTTGACTCCTCCTTTTTTTTATTATTCAAAAAATAATTGCATAGACAATCTCAATGACGTCCCAAATCATTATAAGTATGTTTATGTCTTTTTTTCTTTTATAAGAAATAATGTTGCTGTTGCAGGTGTTTCTTGTGCTCGGTAAACAATCCCCCACCGCAGGATTCAGGAAACGTTTTCAAGCAGGAATGTGAAAAATCAACCTGGAATCTGGGAAATCAAACCAACAACTCACCTGCTTCAGGGTCGTTTGGGATTTTCCACATGTACAGATTAAAGTCATCTGATCCAGACAAGATGTACTGAAGAGAGAGAAAAAAATAAAGTACTGAGCCTTAACTTCACCAAAAGGGAGAGAAACTAGGAAAGCAAGTAAAAAGCAGATAAATCCAGAGAGAGAAGACAAAGCAGAAAACCAGCAGATCTAATCAGAGTGTTGAGATTGCAATCAGACTCAGACTTCAAGTGTCATGGCCTAAACAAAGCTCCTGCTCGCTGCCTGAACCATTATTAGGTTTTATGAGCAGATGGTTTCACTTAAACCGTTTCTACCGGAGGAAGTTCTGACAGGGTCGATGTGGGCTTCACATTCTTTTAGACACATGTAACACTGAGGGAAGGAATGTCTCCAGGCCCGTCTGACAGGAAGTGAAAAGGCCAAAAATACTTTTTGCAATTTTGTTGCTCAATGACTTGAGAAGAATTTGTTTAATTCGCCTCTGAAAATATCCTCCTGATCTCCGTTTCACGGCTTTAAGAGGACACAAACACGGTTTGATTCATTTCTACTGGGACCAACGAAAAGGAAAACCGTGGAAGGAAACTACAAAAGTCTGAAATGAAAAGCTGAAAAGTGTGGCGTGCATTTGTTTTCAGTCGACCTGCATCGCTACTTTGTAGAATAAATGTTCAAGTTCGGATCTGGACTTTGTTTGGACCGTTTGAACTCGTAATTATGCCTTCATATGCCGTTGCAGCTCTGGTTGCTTGTTTTTAGGAGCCTCAAAGTGAAACCACGATTGCATATTTTTGTTAATAGTTTTTTTCGATGTTCCAACTGCTCTTCTTGACCTCTACTATCTTTGTCTTTACAATCTACAGCAAGTGTGGGCATAAAAAGCAATACAGTTCAACTAAATATTCCCAAATAAATTCAAACGTTGTCGTAACTCGTATCATCCGAGAATCTTCAGAACTGCTGTGAATGTCGATGCTGCGGGTGAGAAGAATCTCCACCAACAGTCAGTCTCGCAACAAATCCAAAGAAGGCTCTGACTGAAGACATGCTTCCACAGTAACATGTCCTGAACGCAGCCATTAGGTGCTGTCATGCACCGCTAATCCACCTCGTTTGCTTTTGCCGCTTCTCTTTAAACCTCTATTTGGTGGTACAGTTAGAAAGCCAAACATGTTTCACCAGATATTAAAAACATATCTCTACATGAGTGAGGGGATTATAGATAATTATTAGCCAATAACTCTTGACTAATGCACACCAAGTGTTATGAACTTGCATGTTTCATGCTAATGTAATACCTACACGTGCGTAAACATATTATTTAAAACAACCTGATGGAAGCACAGATGAGAGAAAGAGGAAAAAGGAAAAATTTTCGATGTCGCCATTGGAAAATTTTGTAATATCATTCAGTCCTACTTTGTTGCCATGGTTACACAATTGGTTAAATGCATTACTGACAATCAGAGTTGGAAAAAAGGCATGATCAGGGCTGTCGTAATAAGCAATAAATCAATTAATCATGTGATAAACTCAATGATTTCCATTTGTATGATTTATTGATTTTCTCTTTTCTCTCTTCCTACTAAAAATTTGATGATAAAAGTTTTCAGTCTGGTGCTTTGGTCTAAACTACCCTTTTCTTTGAAGGACAAATTTGTTTACAGAGACCTAATTCTTAATTTCCAGTGTTGTTTCATTTATTTATTTTGGATATTTCAATTTAAAATAAACACGTTTTTATCCTACTACCAACATATCACTTGAAAATGGTCTCAAAACAATATTATCGTTTATCGCGATAACTTCTGGGACAATTTATTGTCCATAACAATTTGTTATAGCGGCAGGCCTAAGCATGAATCAAACATTATAGCTAAAAAAATACTGAAACCAACGTCTTTTTATGGTTGTTACATTTTGCACATTTAAACATTAATAACTGTGATGCAACACCAACATACACAACATGAAACAGATTTTGGTTTCTAAAACACTTTGAAAACTGTGTATCATTTTCCTTCCACATCACCGTTTCGCTCGTGTTTGCAGAAAATCCACCCCAAGTCATGACGACGTTGTGGCATATAAAATAAAAATCTCTGTTTTTCACAGGAAACTGAGCCACACAGGTTAGCTAAATGAGTTTCAGTGGACGGCACAGGAAGGAGCTTTAACCTGCAACACCTGCGCGCTCTGCCTCAGACAGACAGAAGACAGGCCGGTAGGAATGCTGTACCCCAAAAGGATTCCCCACCGTCCTTCCCATCAATCACCGTCTGCTTCAGCACCATACTGAGAAAATCTTCAGCTGCCTGCAGAGTTTGAGGAATTTACTGAAAAATGGAGTGCAGCTCAGATACCAAAAGAAAAATCCAGCCATTCCTCATCTTGGTCAGGGTCAAACCGCTTTTAGCCAAACCTCAGGCATGTCTGTCACTGCTCAAAACTCAAAAACTCGACGTTTAGGCTGCTTTAATTCAGTAATGAGTGAAAAGTATCTGACAGAGACGAGATTTTCACAACTTAGCTTGGCAATATTGTAGAAGAACAGGAGGATAAAATCCATCACCTCTTGGTAATTTATCACAGGCAGGACGTCGGTTTAATTCCTTTCGCATGTCCGTGAAATGAAAACATTTACTCGTTCTGTATAGGATTTCATGCACATATTTTCTGGCGCTGCTTCGGTTTATGACTTGTTGACCCACCTGGTCCTTGTCGCCCGCAAAGCAGCAGCTTTTCATGGTGCAGGAGTTGAAATAGCCCTGGTTGTCGAACTGGAAGCTGGGCAGGCGGGAGTGCAGCTCGTAGAGGACGGGCGGCAGGCGGCGCCGCAGGGCCAGGAGCTGCGTGCCCGTGCTGTTGAAGCGGACGCTCATGGCGCTCTGCAGGGACATGCTGCCGCCGTAGCGCAGCAGAGAGCTGCGAGGCACGGAGGGAAGAGACAGAGATCGAAACGTCACAAGGCAAACTACTACCCACTTCTGCCAACAGTTTTGATGAGATTTTACAGCTTTAAAATCATTGACTACACACCAATGAATAATTCATAGATTCAATTTCCGTGATAGTGAATGGAGTAATACAAAGTGGAGCTGACAGATGCTAAGAAAACGGCTCAATACACCACTTAAATTTGGAAGTTTTGGTTGTTTCATTTCTGACTTTTTTGGGTGTAAGAGAAGATGATTAGATGTTTCATGCATCAGTTCATACTAGCCTTGGGATCAGGGGTGTAAAGGTGCACAAAAATAATGGCTTAGCATGTAGCTAAAGTGACGCTAACGGCGCGTTACAGCTGCATGTTTCTTTTCTCACTTTATTAAAGCGGTGGACAAAAAAGGGAAACAAAACCCAGAACTGAATTAGATATGGGATTTAGGCCTTAATATGATTAGTTTTCTACATCATTCAAAATAACTCTGAATTAAAGATAATTCAGTTGTAGTAATATAAACGTAAAATGGTTTGTTTACAGGAACGAAATAGAAGCTGGAGCAAGAGCCCTAGCAGTGGTTCATCAGTGGGGAAACAGCGACCTCTGGTGGACAGAGTTAAAAATGCATCCTCCAAACGTAACGCCTGGAAATCACATCCAGAAGCTCCTTCTTTGTTAAACCAGAGCAGAGATTTTTATTTCTTGTAATCTGAGAATCTTTCAGGTACCTTTTGTATCTCAATGTGGAAAAAGTTCTTGTTTAAACTGGGCGCAGCTCTGACTGGCATCACTTTCATAACTTAAAGGGTTGTGAGAATATTTAAATTGGACAGCTAATGTTGTTTGGGTTAAAAACCCAAAACATTCAGACCCGAATCACTAAACGAAAATCCAGATGAGGTTGCATTTCCGACACACGCAGACAATAGTTTGTGTAACAATTTCATGCAATTAAATCCGGTTCTCCTCCAGAATGAAGTGTGTTCTTTGCTGGATCAACCCACAGCAAGCAGACAGACGTCTCACCTGCGTGGTTTACGAATGTCCCACAGTCCAACTCCTTCCTTTGAGTTGGCCGTGGCCAGCAGCCGAGGCTCCACAGGGTTGAACATCACACTGTGAAAGGCTGAAGGGTAACTAGCCAGGCAGAACGGCTCTGCGGGGGTTAAAATAAATAGACACAAAGCGGTGAGAGGTACAACTGTCGCTTTGGTCTCTCCGAGAAAGAGTCTATTCATGTAGAACGAAGATTTTTACAGAAATGAGAAAGAGAAAAACAACACATACAGTGATTTGGGAACATATTAATTTGTTTTTTGTCAAATTGAAACCACTAAAGATTTCTTCCACAAGTTTTGTACATGTAAAGTCTGAAATGTTTACTCTTTTTTTTTTCACAACAAAGGTCTGATTCAGTTAGTCTGGATGGAGAGCGTCCATAAACATCCATATTAAAGCCATGCCACAGGTTCTGACCTGGATTCCGCTCTGGACTTTGACTAGGACATTCTGGCAAATTTATATGAGCAAATCTGAACCATTCCACTGCAACTTTGGCTGAATGTTAATCGTTATTTTCCTGGGTTTTCGCCCAATTTTCGAGACGTCTGCAGGCCGGTGGTAGCTAAATGCAACTACACCAGCTTCACTATTCACTGTAAAAGAAAAGCATTCCCACAGCATGACACTGCCACCACCACCGTCATGTTTCGTCACTATAAAGTGTTCATGTTGATGGTGAAAGCCGAGTTTGGCAAGATTTGTTAAGGACTTCAGTTTGCCAAGGCAAAAAAAAAAAAGAGAGAAAGAAATTCAGCTCTGGTTTATCGAAATGTTGGCTTGGGCATTTATTGTATCGTTTATCTTTTATTGTGATACATTTCTTATAATATTTTCATTTATCGTTGTCACGATAAATTCCAATCAATGGTTAGAAATCCCTAAAACTGAGGAGATTTTTGGGATTTTTTTTTTTTTTTTTTTTTTTTTACAAATTTTCTCCGTTTGTTCAACAAGCGAGTATCAAAAAACATAAACACATCTGAAAATATGATTAGACGCAGTTACCGGGTGGAGTTCAGTGATACAAACAACACTTCTTTACGCGACTTGCGTCATGAAGAAGTGCATTATGGGAATGTTTTTCAAGAGCAGTATTTGTGTTTGTGGGGCTGTAATTACTGTGACACACAGTCATACAGTTCCCTAATAAAAGGTGATAAATAGTTCCTATTGTCACTTTTATTGTTATCACAAAGTATTGTGATGAAACCAAGTCCAGCCCTCAAAACGTACCATGATCACAGCTGAAGGCGGTCCTAAAAATATTCAGTTGGGTGAGACTTATCTTGGGATAGATGCTGCGTTAACACCTTTTGGTGGCGAACATTAATAGGCCGACATAACAACGCAGCTCAAAGGCCGGCTGGTCAGAGTTATTATCAGACCGACTCGGTCACAAGGAAGGTTTCTAAAATAGAAGTGAAAGGTGATGCATCCTGTTTGTATGTTAACACTGTTACGCCTCGCCAAGTTAACACAACTGCATTTCATTTTGTTGTCCAGCAGCTTGTTATCACAACAATTAAAGATCAAGCTCGCGCAATATTTAATATCAAGTGAGGATTTGTGTCTTCAAGCAATATCTCGCTTCAGATGCTTACAAAAGATTCGCTAAAAGTAAGACTTCTCCAAATGTTTTTTAGGAGCTCTACAGCGATTAAAAATAAAACATTCCATAGCGACAGCTCTGATTTAATCGTCCTCACCTCCGTGCGACGGCTCCCGGGTGTCCCAGATCAGAACGCGGCCGTCGTCGGACGAGCTCGCAAATATGCTGTCGTTGACGGGGCTGACGGACAAGCTGTACACAGCGTCTATATGCAGGAACACGTTCAGAGTTTCCTGACTGCAGGAGCAACAGTCGGCCACAGGTTAATTAAAATCAGCAGTGTGATGCATCAGCCGGCCGCTTTAAAACGGCAGAAAAGTGCTTCAGAAACAAAGAGTCCTGGACTTTTGTTGTACCCACCTCTCCACATCATGAAGAATCACCTGTTCGTCGTTTCCTGGGAGACGAAAAAGCACACAAATGAGTGGATGAGTGGGTTTTAATTACAGGTTTATGAAAACAAAGGCTGCAAAGCTTTCAAAATGTGTGGTTCCCCATTAAAAAAATAAAAAATAAAAAAAATTAAACTTATATATTTGAAACAAAACTTCATTGTAGTTTGCGCTGGATGTAATAAACACATTTATGTTTTCATCAATGTTTTTTTTTTTTGAGCGCATTTTGAATATCGCATCACTAACGGTGGAAGGAAATGGCAAAATTCAAAGCATATTTCTCATTTTCGCAAAAAAGTTTTCACGTTCCCTTGAGGTGGTTTTTGGCTTTTCCAAAAAAAAAAAAAAAGAGTTAACACACAAAGTAAGGAGATGGAGATACATTTGCTAAATAAGTGCTGACGCAACAACTCTCCCATCCACTTGTGAGTCTCTGCCTTACCAGAGGCACGAAAAATCTCTACTTCCTGTTCCTGTAGCATCAACATCTGGTTTGGAAACGCATCTAATTTGTCTTTTATTTTATTTTCTTCTTTTTTTTTTCCAACATTTCAAAAGTTTGCTTAAACATGACAATTGGATGGCTGCGTATCTCGTGTCGGGGCTTTTTTCAAGGCTGAAATGCTTCCCTGGCAGCGTTGAACTTTGGCTAAAAATTCAGCTTCACGTTGGCTAAAATTAAAAGCAGGAGCGATTGGTGACACAGTAGCCTGAATTCAGGCCTGAGGCTTTTCTTTTCATGTCTGGGTCCAAACACATTATCAGAAGAGCGTGTGTACGTGTTTTTGTTCGTCTGTGCGTCTGCCATCAAGTCTGCGCTCGCCTTACCGCCGGAGAAGACTTTTGAGTTTGAGCTGTCGAAGGCGAGGCAGAAGATGTTGGAGAGATGCTCGCCCTTCAGTTTCACTGGCTTGGAATGGGAGTGGATGGCTTTCTCGATATCCCACAGAAGCACACGCCGGTCATCTCCTCCTGATGTGCAGAAAAATAAGGACAAAGAAGTTTCGCACAAACAGATTTTAATTCTCAAAAGAGGCAACGTCACAACACAGCAATAAGCAACTGATCGCACAATAAATTAATATGAGCTTGATGCTTCTTATTCTGCTGACTAACATTTTTTAAGAGACTTCATGAACCATTTTATTTATGGTTTTGGTTGTGTGTGGTTTATATTTTCTTTTTTATTTGTTGTTGGTTGTTGTGTTTTGGATATTTAAAATGTCTTCCAATTCCAGTGTGGAGTGGAAAGTTTACTAGTCTTTGAGAAGGCAAACTTGCAGTATTGATCCTTTTATCAATGTATTACTTGAAAATGGTCTTGAAACATCAACATTATCGTTTATGATTTCTGGGACAATTTATAGTCCAGAAAAATGTGTTGTTGTAAGAGGCACAGTTACGAGTTGTTCACAGTACTGAAGTTGAATTAAGTGATGACACCAGAGCCTGACCTGCACAATGGGTTTAATTATGAAATCTGCAAAAACCACCAGCTGTAAGGAGAAATAAATTTATAACTTCAGGGATGAAAGGACAGCTGGAAATAGTCTGCTAACAGCATTACTTTCCCTTAATTTGCTTCTACCTATCCGGCGTTGGAAAATGGTTTAATAAAGGCCGTACTTTTCCAAACTAATCAGGAAACCTGATGTAAACACTGCGGAGCAACTTAATGCGCTAACAATACTCATTTTGATGCCAGTGTCAGTGACACGGCCACGGAGCTCGACTGTAGTCCTGAATTGAGCGCAGTCAATGATGCACTCTGAATTAAGCCACAATAAAGCGGGTTCCAAGCCGCAGCTCCAAAGGTAAACAGCGAACGGCCAACCACAAGCTGTCACACTGGGCCAGATGACTGTTTATTACCTTCTGTGGAGCTAAACACTGTTGTCATTTTAAGGAAACGTCGTTGCTATTACACAAATCTCGCTCAGAAACGTGGAATTTAGAAATTAAACACGTAATTTAAAAGACTGACATGGGGTAGCAGTGTTGTGAGCTGCAGAGTGCTCAGATTAATGTTTGCTAGCTAGCAAAACAAGCTAAGCTAGGCTAGCAGCGGAGTCTCTCCCAGGAAGCAGCTGACAGCCGCTGTTAGCATGCTAGCAGGAAAACTGCAGCCAGGCTTCCACAACTTACCAGACACCAGATATTCTCCGCCGTTGTTGGAGAACTCAATGGCGTTGACGCAGCCAAAATGGCCCTCCAAATTTTTCTTGTAGAGGCTGGTGCAGCCTGCCAGCCTCCGTCTCTGGAATTCATCCTTCATGAGCGGCTGTCCGGTCAGCTCTCTGCGGGACAGAAAGCCCACTGAACAGCGCATACCGCAGCCCTTCAGCTCCTTCATTTTGACCACGCTGAAAAGAAACAGGCCTTTTAACTCCACCACTCCACCCGATACATCTGCTTATGTAAATGGGTAGATGTGGCGCACGACTGCTCTTGCTGGTTTGGTTCTACATCCTGGTGGATATGGGCTGCGTGTCCGCTGATGTCGACGTTGTTTCGTACCTCCTCTGCCCGCTTGGTCTGGGTATTCTGGGAGCAGCTTCGTGTCTCCCCCGCCTCCCCTCCGCTGTCATCCGGTGGTCCACCAAACTGTAGCAAGTAATAATAAACAACAACAACAACAAAAAACACACACAAAAAAACACAAAGGCATTAAAATCCAGACAAAACAAAGGCATTAAAATCCAGACAAAACATCCTCACTTTTCACATTTTTTTAACCATTGGAGGTTCTTTCAATTTCTCCTCCACCTTGGACACAAAATACTCCTAATCTTGAAAAAAAAATTATTCATTAACATACTTTTATGAACATGATCACTATACACAACCTTTTATTTCATATATCACCTATGCAATTTAGCGATGAAAAAGCTCTTTTTTATTATTATTTTTCAAGACAAAAAAAATTATATATTTTTTCTTCCCATTTCATACATGCAAATTTAAATTATTTACGCAGGGTAGGGGTGGCCATTTATCATATCGTTTATCATTTATCGTGAGAAACTTCTCATAAGATTTTTGATTTATTGTCATGATAAACTTCATTTATTAATATTTAATAAACCCTAAAACTGTTCTATTGTCAGGATTGTTACTAATTTTCCTACTGTTTGTTCAATAAAGGTGCACCAATAAATACAGCTAAATTTTTAAATAGGATTATTTTAAAACAATTCTATTTTTGTGAGTGGTGTCCTAATTACAAGTGGGAATCATTTCAAGAGCAGTATTTGTGTTTGTGAGGCTAGGACTGCTGAGTCATGCACTCACAGCCATACAATCACCTTAAAAAGGTAATAAATAGTTTTATTATTATCACAATGGTACATAATCACCATAATATATCTTGATAAAACTTCATCTGTAATTGTCTTCCCATCAACTCCTTGTTCCTGAGATTAAATTCCTAACTGGTGATTAAATTACTCACTGTGGACCAATTACCAATTAGGTGATTTCTGAAGGTTGGAGTAAAATAAGTCTAGGTACAAATGTTCTTAAAACATTTTTTAAAGGATTTTAAACACAAACTTCTGTTGATCTATCACATAAAATCCCATTGATATTTTTGGCTGTAACACTTTATTGAGGTCCCTATAGTCAGGAGACAGATTTTGTCAGCTTCTGCTTTTCAAAATATAGTGTAGTACACTGCTTATTTTATCACTTTAAAAAAAAAAAATTATTACATAAAACCCCTGCGACCTTACTTGCTTAGATAATGGCTGCATGGGCAGACGAATTACATAAAATCCCCTGAGCATAAAACAGAAACAAAGGAAACAAGAAGTCGATCTTAGTGTGTAGTAGTTTTATTATTCCCAATTTTTGGGATTACAGTGGTAGTCTTTAAGCAACTTTCAGTCTTGAGAAGCTTTCTCTGAGACAACACTTAAAATAAAAATATATTTACACAGATAAGAAGAAGAAAAAGAAAAAAACAACAAAGGTTTTCTCAACATTAGGGGTTTATTTTACTTCGAGCCAAGTGGCTAGAATGCGATTTAGCATCGCACACGTGAACAGACGTAACTATTCGTTTGTGTTGGACTTTATTTAAGTTCTCTTGGGCCCAGACTCATCAGCACCATAGTAGGCAGGGATTGTTACTTATACTGATTTGTCAAATTATGCAATTTAGGCACTTATTAAACAAATGACGAGGGCTATGATCAAACTTCTAGTCAGTAACAATTTGTGGGCAAAAAGTGTGTTGGACGTGCAGCTAAACTCGAAGAGAAGCTTCAGACATTCACTACGTACACAATCTGCTCTAAACTTAGAATATTTGAACTAAACTCTACAATACTCCATTTAGGCCCCGCACCGAGCATATTAACAGCAGAGATGGGATACAGCGGCTTGGCTAGCTTTGCATATAAACGACGACGCCACTCGTTTGTGCTGCTGTTCAGCTCTGGTGGCTCGCAGCAGCCAGCCGGTTGTTTACCTGCAGGTTCCCTGGGAGGAGGTGGGGGGAGGGGGAGTGATTTTACGCTAATCTAAATTACACAAACGTTTAAAAGTGCTTTACAGTAAGGTAACCTTTTGATACATTCACCTCTAACGTTAGAAAGTAGCAGAGCACACAGGCTGAGAGCTGTGACGAACAGACTCGCGTTGGCCGCAGAAAACCCCTAAAAACAAAGTCTTTGCTTTCAGCAAAAAGCTACGCAGTGCGAAGGAGTGCTGGTCTTAAAGGGATAGTTCAGATTTTTTTTTAAAGTGAAGTTTTGTGAATGCATGCCCTGTTTTGGCTGATTTTAGTTATTTCAAACAACTCAAACTGAAAATGTAAAGCATACAACTCCACTGGTAAAACTAGAAACTTACTTGCATTAAGTTTACTACCTACACCTTTAAATAACTTGAAAGAGCTTAAGTGATGAAGTCGCCGCTTTTTAAGCTTCGGATAGGTTACTTGTGGATGTGCTTTTAAAGGTGTTCTTCAAACACGCTGCTGGGTCATTACTGAAATATTTGAAGAAATCAGCGAGGCTACTTGTGGAAAAATGTGAAAGTGAGCCCAAACGTCACTCAATGAGGAAAAAGGAATATGCTAAAGATTGGATTAAAAGCCAGATTACAGTTTTAAAAAAAAGCACGCAGGGCCATACATGTATTAAAACATGTCCTGTGCTGAGATTAAAACTAAAATGCAAGTGACTGACAATAATGAATATTACATTTTAAAATGGAGAACCTACAACCAAGAGCATCAAGCAAGAGTGAATGTTTTTGACCAAAGAGGGAATTTATGCACTTGGTTATAATCTCATGTATGTACATGTAGATGTTCATTGATCTGCATAGTCCCATTTAAAAACAAACAAAACTGAACTTGTTAGACTAATATTAAATACACTAACAGATTCATAAAGCTGGTAGTTTTCGCTAATGTAATTTTAAAATTCCCTAATAAAGCGCAGTACTTTATAACGTAGTTTGAGTTGTTTAAATGGACAAAATCAGCTAAAACAGGGGGCTCATCTGGTTACCTAGCTAGTTCGCTAGCATTTATGTCCTGCAAATGTATTTTCTTTTCTACAAACTAACTGGTATATGACTGATAACTTTCCAGAACTTTATTACAAAAAATCTTAACTTTCCCTTGAAGGAGGATTAAACAGCTTAGAGGTAAAGATTGGCCATTCTACAACTAATTCCCATTTACAAGGAAAACTCAAAGGAATAGTCAGACCTTTTTGAACGTACACCCAGGTTCAGTTAGATGAGAATTTATGCCACCAAAAAGTAGGATTCTTCCAATTTTACCAATTACATCAAAACTTCATATTTCTGGGTCATGTGAGTCTAATATGGTGGAAGGATGTTTCTTTCCGTAGCCGAGTTTTTGTAGCCATTGGCTATTAGCTTAGTAATACAGCTGTTAAGATACAACACATAAAGTTAAACTTCAGAACTTTATAAAGCGAATTTTTAAAATTTGCCAGTTTGGGATTTCTTTATGCTATGCTAAGCTAATTTGCTGCCAATAACATCATTCCAGAGCTGGCAAAAAGTTGTATGGGACCTTAGGAATTGTTTCAGGCTCATTCTTTGAGTATTTGCTGCCCCCTGGTGGCTGGGAGGCTTCTAGCAGGCACTTGAAGCCTCTTATTTGTTCATTACCTTTTGAATGTTAACGAATTCCAATGTTTGTTTTAATTTATTTTTGTTCCTAACACTTGACATACTTTGAGTTCATTTTTAGAGGTAGAAATACAAAATACAGAAGTTTGTAAGGAGTGAAAGAAAATCTCTTAATGACAGCTCAATTACCTGACTTTACACCAACATCAGGCTACTCAAGCTAGTTATCTTTTTTCTTTTTTTACTTCTCGGCAAAGAAAACCTGGGCAAAAAACCTGAATTGAAAGTAAGAGCATCTCATTCCATGGCAGCTTCTCTTGTGTTTTTGTGTGTGTATGTGTTTTATGTACTATAATAATTTTGCTGGTTTAATACAAACCTTAAAAAAATACAAACATTAAATAAAACAACAGCAAAAAAGAAAAATAAAACAGGTCCTACCTGATGACTCACTCAACATGTTAAAGGTTAAAAGCCTTTTATGAAGATTACTTTCTGAAAGGTCTACAAAACATCAGCAGCTTTTTAAGCAGGGTAAAGTCATTTTCACCTGGCAGCTTTACATAAATAAAAAAACAAAACGGAATATTAAATAATCGGACAAATGCAACAGTGGAGAGCGGCAGTTTAACTTAAGACAGCAGAGTAAAATGAAGGTGGCAGGGGGTTAAAATCTTGGCACAGGGGTCAACGGGGCTGTCCTCCTTGTTTCAGTCTCTTTTCAAGGTGCTGCTAGTACGGGCCCTTAGTGTGCCCAAAAATCCCGACGGGGAAGTGTTTGACATGTGAGGACCACTGAGCTGCTAGCTGGAAAAACTTGACATCGTTCCACTCGACTCCATCAATCAGCACTGTGGAGAAAACACAAAACCAGCCATGAAGAAACGTATTCTGGGCTGTGTTTTAGTTTAGTTTTTCAATTTGCTCTAGAGTGAAAAACAATCTAGTTCTCTCTGTATGGTGTTCATAAAGACTTCCTAGAAACAACACAGAAAGTATCTTGTTAGTTTTGAGTAAGTAACATAGTTACACCTTAAAATGCTATTATTTAATGACATAAAAACTCTTCTTAATAGTTTACAACAAGAATCTTACCTACACTACTGGACACTGGCTCGTCACAATATTTTATTGTCGAATATTTAATTTCCTTTTGGGATCAATTAATTATTTTTGACTTTGAACTTGAAATTCATTAAATTAAAAAAAATGCTTACCGTGATATTTCTTTTAATCAGTTTTATTTGCTCAACAACACACAAAATCCTTATGAAATCTGTACCATAAACGTCATAAAAAGAGCTTAAAAAACAAAAACTAAACAAACAAACAAACAAAAAAAAAAAGACAATTTCCACATTTGGGCCATCAGTTGATTTCTGTTTTTTAATGATTCTGGATTTGTGTTCAAGGGCCAAATAAAATCATTATAACAGTGATTTTATTCATTTATTTGTCACTTTGTTGTATGATTTAACAAGCTCTTCCTTAAAAACAATTTTAAAAATAAAAGGTAAGGTAATTTTATTAATATTGCACATTTTCAGCAACAAGGCAATTCAAAGTGCTTTACGTGAATTAAACAGGAAATACAAACAAAATAAACCAAAGACAAGAGCAAAAGAAGAAAAATTATCTAATAACGTTGATCTAAAGCAAATAAACTAGAAACTCCTGATCTTGTATTCTCTGGACTTTCTAAGTATGTTCAAAATCTTTAAAAGTAATGAGTACTCCACAATTTCTAAGTAATAATAAAGAGAAAAGCAAAAGCAACAGCAGATAATCTGACCTCTCAGCATGGTTTGCTGGTGCTTGGCAGCGCAGATGAGGCGACTGATGCCTTCGATCACTTGACTCTTCGACTCGACCTCCTTGTCTTTGCTCTTCTTCTGCAGAAACATGACTGCGAGAAGGCGACAGCAGACATCCACATTGTTAGGAACAGAGGCATTCAGAGTCAGCCTGCTTTCTGCAAGGCTTAAAACATAACATTTGAAGTAAAAGACCTGATTTTAAGCATTGTTTTATTAAAATAATGAAAAAAGCAATAAGAGACACACCCTTCTTATTTTTCTCCTTGGTCACAACAGTCATAGACATGGTGGGCTGGGGGCTTGGCTCTGCGCCCCCTGGTGGAAGCCGGCTGACCTGCAGCGAGCGGAAATTGCACTTCAAAGTGTTTTTGGAGGAGGAGTCCCGCTTCTCCATGTCTTTCTTCCTCTCCGTCGGAGCCACCCAGTAATCCACCTGAAGGCCCATCAGCTCCGCCTGGCTGCTGGAAGTGCTGAGAGACAGGCAACTTTATGTCAACCAGCTTTTTTTTTTATTTTTTTTATAAAAGCAGACACTGCGAGATTTCTCAATTAATTCTAAACCTGAGAGCACAGAAGCTGGTGTTGATGGAGGGAGAAGGCGGCGGTGTCGGCGAAGCCTCTTTAAAAGCGGGGGACACTTGAGGAGGCGTGGAGGAGAGCAGAGACGAGCTCAGAGGTGCTGCGTCATCAGAGTCTCCTGAAAAGGAAAGCTGCTGTTAAAACAACGCACAGTTGGACAACTTACTTAATTTGGGATTTTATTACTTTGGCACTTTTTCCCCCCCTGTCATCTCCTTAAAATGGCTTTTAGCGGTTCTGAAAGTGTAACTTTTTACAACCTCAAAGGGGCAGTTTTATGTATTTTCCAGGCACATAGTGTCATTTTATAGGACAATCAAGTAACTGTGTTGTTTTCAATTGTTATAAAAATACCATATAAATATATATCAAATAGAACTTAAAAGAAATTTTGCTTCCTAATTTAACACCTTCAAATTGGGCCTCCGTCTCTTAAAATTCACCTTCAAGACGTCATTACAACATGGCTCCTCTATTAACCCTTTAGCTACGTTTTTACCAGCGTTGCACTGAGAAGTAGCTCCTATAATGAGCTCAGCAGACGCTCAGCTCCACCAGGTGTTTGCTAATTGCTGCTGGCTAGTCTGAAGGAGCCGAGAGGTGGAGAGTTGCTGGGTGAAGCAGAAGCTTAGAAGCTGCAGGAGCTTCGTCCTCGAAGGCGGAGCTAGGTCCATCCTGGCGTTTTGCTCGGCTGAATGGTTGCCATGGAGATTAAAGGATTTCTCAAACATGCATGAAAGAATCAACGCAACACTCCAGGTATGTTTTTGATTTACATTATGTCATGATGTAAATCTAGAAAAAGTCAATTTTCCATAATACTACCTCTTTAAAAAATTATTTAGTAGACCAGGATTTGGAAAAACTTTCTGTATTACTTAATTCATTAAAAGTTGATCTGGGAACAGCAAAATCTGCTTCTAAGTGAAAGTCGCTGTGTGATTTGGGTGCAGAATAAAGCTGGGGGCCAAACAATGGACAGCACTGGCCTAAATCATACATGTGGTTAAAATATGGCCCTAACAGAGTTTAGATAAAGCTGATAAACATTTTCCATTTGTCTGTTTGTAGGTTTATTATGCAGCCTGTGCAAAAGACACTGCTTTAAATGTCGTAACAAGCACTTGCCTGATGCTGCAGATGTTTGCTCCACAATGCCAACTTTCACCATCTAAACAACAATGGAGGAACAGGAGGTATTCAGTCTACGGGTAACTTTACAAGGCAATAAATTCAACTTCCCACTGGACAAATCCAGACAAGGAAAGCCAGGGCACGACTTTCCTACTTACCCCAATAAATGGGATGAACTTCTGACAGGAATCCTCAGTAGGGCTGGTGAAGAGAGTTAATAATTAGTAGGAGGAAAAACATTCGGTCTGATGATGAAGAGAGAAAATCTGCAACTAAAACTTGGCTGTGGAAATTAATTTACTACAAAAGATTCCAATTAAGAGAAGCTACATCTATACTGGTCAGCATTAACATCTAGCGATTGGTAACATGTGAATGCTGACTTTTATACCAATACCAAATGATTGATATCTGAAACTACTGTAACTAACATTGCAGAGATTATGTGGAATGCAAAGCCCAGGTGTGCATGCTGCCATTTTTTTCTTACTTTACTACAGATTTAAGTTGAAAATAAAACAGCAAAGCTAACTGTAGCAGGACGGGCAGAGAGCCAAAGAACATGCAAGCCTCCGGCCAGTTTGTGGCACAAAGTAAAGCGATAGAATCTCACGGCCGGGACGGAAAAGGTTACCCTAAACCCGGTCAGGTAGGCATTCGGGAGGCAGCAAGTTCATAAGGTGGACGTAAAGCATCGCAAGGAGGAAGAAGGAAGAGCACCAACCTAAATCCAAAAACCTGTCTGGGTCCATGCACTGCCTGTAGGCGGCAGTGCATAACCACACTACGGCAAGAGCTATTTTCCTGGCAACGGCCGGAAAAATAGCAGGATGAAGCGCAGCTGAATTGTAGCTTTTGCGTTTTCTGAATGTGAAGTGGTTTGATGATGCGTAAGGTTGCTGCTCTTGCCTTGAAGAGACCTGCCATCGCCCCCCCAGGGAAGAAACAGAGAGACTACAGAGGCAGGCGTGGGGAGGGACAGAGAGAGAAAGAGAGGGAGAGAGAGAGGAGATAGAGAGGGGTTTTAAGACTGTGACAGAGGGATTTTATCCAACACATTTCTGCTGCAGTCAGCTTCAGAGCAGCCAGAGAAACACAAGCAAGATGGCTGCCTGATATAAGAGAGATGAAGTCCCATCTCGCTTTGCGTAGCTCTTCATGATGGAGTGAACGACTTCTTGTATGTTCAATGGCTTAAAGTTACTCATGCAGGTGGATTAAACTATTATTTGTCTAAAGTTTGAGCTTTCCTCTCATTTTGTTATTCAGAAAGGAACAAATGTGGGTATTTTCTTCTGTTAAATCAGTTTATTATTTTCAACCAATTACCTCAAAGAACATAAATAGAGTGATTCACTATTCAGATGGACGCTGTTGCTAATTGAAGATTCAAATTGAGCTACTTTTATTGTTTTTGATTTGTTAAAAAATACAGAAAGATAAACTGAATTTAATAGGGTATGTCTCTAGATAGCTAAAATGCTATCATTAACATGTTGGCTTATGCTAGCATGTTGAGTATCTTCAACAAAAAGCAATATTAATTTAGCTTCAAGTCAAATTTAGCTAAAAAGCTATAGTGAGCTTAAAGGCTATGATTATCATGTTGGCGTGGTGGCTAACTTTAACTCAGTCCATACAAAACGAGCAAAACTTTCAGCAGATAACAGGAAAGCTGAAGTTTCTACAGCAAACGGTTTCTAGCTGTTTTAGTAATGCTAGCTATGCTAACTGCTATTTTTGCTGCCTTACACAGCGACGTCACGTCACCTCCGAGTCTGGGCAGAAACAACAAATGAACAACAGGAAGGCTAGAAAAGAAAGAAAATATTCTGTTCCTATGTCTTCTTTCATTATAGTTATTAAATACCAATACAAATAAGGGGAAAAATAGAAAAACAGGACAGTATTTTTACAGCTTTTCAAAAAGATGTTGGCCACTCAGATGTCACACCAGGCTAAAAAGCTGACGCACTATTTCAAGAGAATTATTACGCTATCGCCTTGTGTAGATGATTTGAAAAATACGGCAATATTGTTTTATAGCCAGAAAAATATCTCACTATAGGAGGGCTATTGATTTGAGTACTTAGCTAGACATGCTGCTTCAAAATCCATAATTACATGACTGAATGAAGCATCAACACATAAAAACTTTTGCTGGCAATGTCCATGTTTTCCTACATTTAAATGGACAATTAACAGACAGACATAGACAGCCAGAAGGTCCATGCATCAAAAGTATTTATTTTCAGTAGAATTAAACAGAAACTGTAGAAATAATCATAAATCATTTATTAAACATAAATCAAATAAATATTTGATTTATTTCATGCAGCTCTGATCTAAGATATTTTCATTTGGAAGATGAGCTGTATGTATCTGGCTGATTTGTGAGAGATTGATTAGTTAATTAGTAGAGAATAAATCCCCCAGAGAAGATAAATACAGAATTGTACATATAATCAGAAAATTTGATTCATTTCTAAATGACAAAAAAATGAGATTTTCTAATGAAAAAAAAAAATATATATATATATATATGTTTTGTGCTTCTTTTATTGTTTCATTGATTAAAATTATGCATGGACCTTAGAAGTAGAACCACAGTCATGAGTGGAAGAATGAAAGGGACACAGTTTGGTCTCCTGCCACCTTATCAGCACAAACCTCCTTGTTGCTCAAAACTCATGATTCTCATTTACAGATTTGTTTGTACATCCACTTGGTTCTGGTGCCTCTCATAGCGCATCACAACTATTTATGCAGTAGGCATTTTCTTGGACTTTGTTAGGGCCGCTAGCAAACTCCGGCTTTAGTGTTCTTCAGCCACTTTGTAAGCAATAAAAAATCATCGTCCATTTGGGAAACCTATTTGTACCAAGTCTAACTTCCTAACTGATTTCTTAAGATGTTGCTCAGTATTTAAATAATTTTCCATCCACATTGTTCCATCTATTTTATTTAAGCGCACCAAACCCAGCCGTTTTTACAGTGCAACAATCTGCAAAAACCACCGTCTAAACTCGGATGTACAACTGTTTCAGCTTGAAGGGTTACGTGAATTTACTTCAGAGTCGAATCTCAACTAAAGCCACTTTTCAGGCAGCTGTGAAGGCGGCAAGCTCCAGCAGAGGCAGACATGGGTCGAAGGGAAATGACAGGCACACAGAAAGCACATGAATCACCAGTCGATGCAAGAAACAAACTCAATCGACCACAATACCTTACGGCAAAATCAAAATGAAAGCTCTTTTTCCTTTGAAAACAAAACAAAAAGAAAACATACAGCAAAACAGATGTTATTCACACGCACACATTGATGGATAAGACACAGATGCTCACACAGAATACTGCTTGCCAACAGTGTCTTCAGAAAGTATTCACACTCCTTAAAGTGCTTTGCATTTTTTTTGTTTCAACTACAATCTTTATGGCGCCTTTCTCGAATTTTAAGTGTTAGACCAGCACAACGGTGTGTGTGGTCCAGTCAAAGTTTGAACTACTTTGTCAAAAGAAAAAAAAAGAAAAAAAACGTCCTAAGAGGACATGGTAGAGATGAACCAGCATAAAACTTCCAGTAAGTATTAGAAAGTATTTACTCAGGCCGGGCTGATTACACTTGCCACACTTTTTAGGTTCTTATTTAATACCGTATTTTCCGGACTATAGAGCGCACCTCACTATAAGCCGCATCTACAAAGGTTTTTTTTTAAAACTGGAAACAAAGGTATATAAGCCGCACCAGGCTATAAGCCGCTGGAATCTCCGCCGCTTTTGATTATTCACAATGCCAAACCATGGATTCGTTCACTCCGAGCTTACATGCAGCGGCTCCATTTCCCTCCTGTACTACCAGATTGATAACCTTCAATGTAAAATCTGCATCATGTGAACTTCTTCGTTTCCATGATGAGGGGGTTTGAGTTTGAAAGCATTTCTCCGTCGTTCCTGCTGCTAGCATGTGCTTGTTCTAAATGAAAATTAGCACTTTCTTCGTTGATTTCCAAGTTTGACTTCCAATGATTCACTTCCTGCTACAGAGCCCCCTGGTGGTTGAAGAAAAATCCACAGAAAATCCGCACCGGGCTACAATCCACATGGTTCAAAGCGTGGGAAAAAAATAGCGGTTTATAATAGGAAAAATATGGTAGCTAAAAATGTCCCCTTATTTCACAATAATGCTTAGTGTTGGTCTATTACATAAAATCCCCCCAAAAAGTACTAGATTTTGTGGTTGTAAGTTGTAAAAATGCAAAACAGTTTAAGGTGCATCGATACTTTTGCAAAGGACTGTCTGCAAGCCCCATACCAGTAGTGAGACATTTACTTCATTTTGTTTCCAAAGGGCAGTTTGAATGGTAAGCCATTAATTTTTTTTATTATTACTATTACTATTATTTGTAAAAAAGTACATTTTGGTCAATTTAACTGTTAAGTTTTATCTACCAGCAGGATTTTTCCATCTGGTATAAAAATATATGTTTTGACAGGATAACCACTGCTGTTAATGTTTTTTTTTTGTCCACTGCATTCCCCCTTTTGAAAACAGAATGAGTTCTACATTAAAACCATTTGTTAGAGGAAATACTTAAAACATTAGTGGGCTTTTTAAAACCTTTTCTTAGCTCCCAAAGACAAAATCAGCCGTCTGTGCAATTACAGATAATATTCCGTGAAGGTAGACTCTTAAATGAAACGAGGCTGAAATCCTGAGGGGAAACAGAAACAAAAACAAACCTTTTCTGCTTGTAAGTGAGCATGGCCTCGGCGATGGGGAGCTGGTGGGCTCCGTTCGCTCCCTCCATGTACTGCGTGACCCTTGACACCACGTCAGGGCTCTCCTGAACTGCACATGGATGGTGATTAGTACCTGAACGCAACCCTTCGCCCCCACAACCCCAAAAGGAAAAAAAAACATGCTTTGCAGAGTTATTCAAAGTCTGTGAATGTTTTCATTTTGTTTTTACGAGCAAAACCACAAACTTCCACTTATTTTATGTGGCTTTTAAGTGACGGACCGACAAAAAGGATAATTTGTTTTCAGTATTAATTAGACCTTAATACTTTGCAGAATTATCTTTTAAACAAGTTTGTAAAATTCACTGGAGAAAAAGAGAATGCAGCTCCAACTTTTAAAAAAAAATTGCAGTAATTGCTCAACAGTAACTCAATGAAGTTTGTCAAACTTGCGTTACTTAGGTTAATTTACCTTAATAACTTAATAAATTGACTTGGATAAACTTAATCTGATTCCTTGTGACCAATTTATTTAAGTTGGATCACCTGAACTAAAAAAATCATAAAAACTTACCAAATATATTTTTGTTGAGTTTTTAGTGTAAATACATTGAAATAAGACATAACTAACTTACAAGAAACTTGTCAGCAAGAAATAAGAGCTTGTTTAAATCAGTAGTTCCTTAAAATTTATGAAAACATAGTCAATGCTGCCAAGGCTCTCAGCTGGACTTAGGTCTGGACTTTGACTGGGCCATTCTAACACTTGGATATGCTTTTGGTGACAAACCAAAGCGTTGTAGAGTTAAGCCCACAATTATTCAAAGCCACTTAGATTTTAAATTATTGTCATTCAATCAAGAAATTGATTCTTGATAGAAAATGAAACGGGCCTTTCTCACAAAAATAATTCTAACTATACGACTTTTGAAGACAGTTGATTTTTTTTTTGTTGCATCAGAACACAGAATACAAATCTACATTACACGTTTCAGATTTGTATTTGTTAAAATCTTTATGTATTTTCCTTAGGACTTCACATTTATGAGCTTGTTTCTGTTGGTCACATAAGAGCCCAGTCAAATGCACTGAAGTTTCTGATTAAACCATAATATGTGGAAAACATCTAAGTGTCGTGGAATATTAAACATATAATCTGATACGACTCTAAAAGCTAAAAATGTAACTTGTGAGGAAAAATGACCAAAGCCCAAGTGTTGTTTGTAATCAACAGCCCACCGATCACGGGAGCCTCCGTCTTGTGGAAGAGATCCCTCCAGGCGGCGTCTTGGAACAAACTGTTGTAGCGATGATCGATCGTGCCGAGGTACTTGGAGACGGGATGCGCACCTGAGGAACAGCGGAGGCTTTTAAAGTAAATGTGCGAGGGCGGCCGCGCTCTGACACCGACTCTGAGTCGACCTCTGACCTAAGGGGATGATGAGGAACCTCATGTAGCCGAGCCAGTCCGGGGTCTTGTGGGAGAGGTGGTCCACAAAGAGCCTCAGAACCGCGCTAAGGTAGTGCTGCGCTCCGGCCACTGCAATCTTTATGGGAATAGGCGTCTGGGAGTTACAGTTGCAGCTACAGGAGCAGAACAAACACGGCGGTTTTGATTTTGCAAAGCCACGTACGTTTTTTTTGGCTTTTTTTGTCCTAACGGGGTCAAAAAGAGGGTCAGACTTACAATCTTTGGATGCGAGAGACAATGGTGTTGAAAGCAGCTTGGATGTCGGCCATGGTGCATGTGCAGACCACGGGCAGATGGTGGTTCTGCAGCAAATCCGACAGATACTGACAGGAGAGGAGGAACAAGAGTTCACTAGTGAGCAGATGGAGCTGAACAGTGTTTTGTCTTCATGAATGTGTAGCAACACAACAATATTTTAAACGTGCACCGTAAATAATGTGCAGCTTAAAATTAGCGATGCACCGATCTACATTTTTCACTTCCGATATCGATATCTGAGGTTCAGAATCGGTCGAGAGAGAAAAACAGTGCTGACTTGACTTTAAATGTTTCTTTTTTTTTTTTTTTAAAAACACATAAATAAATGCACTGAATTATAAATGTTTTTGAAAACTATTTTATTTGAAACTAAGCTTGATCAAACATGTAAAAACAACACAACTTTAATTTATTCAGTCAGTGCGATTAGGAGTAAAATAAACGATAAAGAAACTGAAACTGACAAACAATAGGTTGATTACTTTGGCCAAAAATGTAAAATAATAATAATAATAATAATAATAATAATAATAAACTGCAACAAACCTTCTTTCAAATGGTTCAGAAAGTAAAATTAGGAACTCTAAATATGATGTAAAATAAATGATAAAGCATGACATCGCTCAGAGCACAAAGCGTAGAATTAGACCAAATAGATCTGCACATCGTCACAATATCACATCTAGAATTTTTTTCAATATTGGGACCAATAAAAATATTAATATTCTGTTGGTACATCACTACTTTGAAATCTGGATCAATAGTTTCAAGCTTTAACAGGTAACTTGTCTCTGATTGTATCGTGTTAAGCAGCGAGTGTTCAGGTGTTTGACCTTTGACCTTTCTGTCTCATTCATCTTCTGAAGACCTTACCTGACCTTGCCAGTCTGACGTGTTGATGAGGATGATGCTGTCAGGAAGGTGGTTATCGGACACCAGGATGTGGTTCAGTTGGTCATAAACGGTTTTTCTTGGAATCTGACAAAAATAATGTCAAAACTCAGGGTGCTTTTTCTTTTTATTTAATCTTAATATTATTAATTGTATTATTATTATAGTGGCTCAACGCAATAAAAATAAATCAACATGAGGGAACTGAGAAGAAACTTGAAATCTGCTATAATCACAGGGAGAAGCTGAGGATAATATCTGTGGCTTCTTCTCCAGCTGCAGCTGCGTCCCCCTACCTGTAGGTGGCAGCGTGTGTCCAGGGACCGCTCGTTGTCCAGGCTGTTGGCCCTCTCGTTCTGGGGCCTGCTGGGCTGGCGCTCCTTGAGGGACGTGCTCCGACCTCGCCGCCCTGCCAGCTTCGCTTCCTGCCTGAAAAAAGGAAAACAGGACGTAAAGACTAACCAGCAGGGGGCAGTAATTCACCAGCTTATTTTAGGGTGGCTGAAGCCTCCTTAAAAACCATTCTCAAGCCCCACTCTAAATGTTTTTTTTTTTTGGGGGGGGGAGGGTTGTTTGTTTTTTTTTCTTTTAAACTGCCAGTGTACTAAATATGATGTGGCCAAAATATGAGTTTAAACAAATAGTCACATAAATTAATCATTTTTAGTTAAAATGTTATCTTAAATCTGTCAGTTTAATTTTTTTTGCACAGTCTAATGAACTCTGAGATTGGTGTAAAATGTTACACGAATTATTTGGAACATGAAACAAGCATGAAACACTGAACAAATGTACTTCAAAGGGTGTAGAATCACGAAAAATTATTACCTCAGCAACGTTTCCTAGGAAACCATTTTATTATAGTGATTTGCTGTTTACAGTTAATATTTTGTAGTAGAAGAAGTTTTTATTTCCACTATTTCAAAATGCAAAAGCAACTTTGCTGTGTTTGTTTCTGTTTGAGAAATTTTGTACGTTTGCTCACAAGGGCTCAGCCCCCCCCCCCTCATTAAAACCTAGTGACGCCCCTGCTTCTCAGTATTTCTTCCATAAAACGCTCTCTCTCTCTCTTGGCTCCGTTAGGAAGGTGGTTAAGGAAATAATACCTGTTGGACGAAATGATGAGAGATTCTGTCTTGGTCATTTTGCCACTTGGTGGCAATCTCTCTAGAAACGTGTCCATGTTGTCCATTTCCAGCTCTGTGGTGGGAGTCACCGCCTCGGGTTGCTCCTGGAGGAAAACGGGAGAAAATAACAAAACCGGCCAGATGTTAAGGTTGTGAGCCGAAGGCGAAGGCGCCTCCGTGAGTCTTTACTCACAAAGGTGGCGTTGTCACGGCCGCCATCATCGGCGAACGTAGAGTCGCCGCATTTGGTTTTGTCCAGATCAAGCTGAAGTGACGTGGAAGGAAGGAAGAAAAACAGACATGATTGTGACCGAGTCTCGGGAATGTTCACTTCACAGACGGAGAGTCAGAATTAGTGAACGTCTGAAGACGATTCTTAGTTCAACAGAGATCTTACAATTTCCCTGATAAACCAACAGTGGTTTAAACCAACACTGGTTTATCAGTGAGATTTACCCGTGGAAAAGAAAGCAACAAAATGCAGTTTTCAAATTCTGATCTCATTTATCAGGGAAAAGATGAGATCCAAACCAACTTCAACTTATAGGAAAAAGTCAAACTCACTAGTTCCACCTTTCGTACCATGAGCTGTCAGTAGCAATAAGTTTTTGTTTTCCCCATCAATTTGGAGGAATTTGGTCCCACTCTTCTCAAATTTCAGCCATGCTTGAAGATTTTCCAATCATGAACCGCCTGTATGGTTTTACCACTGTAGCTCAATCAGATTTAAATCTGGACTTTAACTAGGACACTCCTAAACCTTCAGTTAAAGCCCTGCTGCTGCTTGACCTTCAGAACTGAGAAATCACTTAAACAGGACCTGTTTGACAACATGAAGAACAATGCAGAACATTAAACACCCACTGAAAAAACTGGTAAAAACTAAAAGTTCCCTCTGAAAATTAACATACTTTTCATTAACCCCACATTTCTCTATTTAAATTGTTTTACTTATTGGTAATATTGTCATTTTAAATGTCATGTTTTCATTAAACTGCAACCTTCATAATTAACAAAAGAAAAGGCTTTCAAACATCCATCTGTGTGGGATTAATCTGTTTCAGTAAGTGATAGAGTTCCTGAAATAAATTGACTTTTCAATAACACTAATTTATTGAATGCTTGTGTATTTAAAACAGCAGAATGATATTTTAATTCAGGTCTTTAACAGATAGGAAGTGGGAAACTGACCGGGCTCGGCGGCTCTCTGTGGCTCCGGCTGCTGTGGATGCTGCCGATCTCGGTCTGGGAGCTGGAGAGGGACAGTCCCTCGAAGTATGGCCTGAAACATGGACGAAACCAAACACGTTGCACTCCACACGTTTCATCTCTTCACAGATGATTCACAGGGTCGGCATAAACGCGTCTCGGCTAAAAGATCCCTGCAGGTTTCGTTTATTTTTCACACTCCCGTCTGAGTGTGAAGGAGCCTGTTAGCGCTCCAGGAAGGTTCCCAGTGGACGGCAGGTTATGAGTTTTTAATATTCTGAAGACGTAAAGCATCTTGGGAGACACCGAGGGAAACGAGAAGCGCTGAATTTTCTGATGTCTCACTCGCAGGAGTATGGAAAAGTTTGGAGCTCAAATATTGAAATTCGTGTTTTATTATAAACAATAACGTATGAATTTCCATTGCTTTATTCTTTATCTTATTGTGTAGAGGTTGTCGTTTCTTCTTTGGGTTCTTCCTCCTGTGCTTCCTTCCTTGTTTGCTTCTTTACTTCATCGAATTCTTCTGTTGATTCTTGTTTTCCCTGCAAGTCTATCCTTCATCACTTCATTGTCTCCTTGCTTCCTGTTTTACTTGTCTCTCTTTCCTTCTTTTCTTCCATCCTTCTTTCTCCTACACTTCCTTGTGTCGTCTTTTGATTATTTTTTCACGTTTATCCTTTACTTTGTGGTCTCCTTGCTTCTTTTCTGTCTTGTGTCCTCCTTTCTCTCCTTCCTTCCTACTTTCTTTGCTTCCTTCCTTTTTTTCCTTCCTCCCTTCCTACCTACTGTTCAAAGTGTCTAAATACTTCACTGAGGTGCTTTGTCTCTCAAAACATAAATATTCATGGACTTAAAATACTGAATCTGATCTTAAACAGCCAAACACTCATAATGTTCACACACACATTTACTTTTTCCACTTCCTCTTGGCTTATACTAAGCATGCAGAACCGTTTTATAATTCATAGAATGTCAACAGACAGGTAACTGGAGACATTATATCAGCCCACAGCTCACTTTAGTTTGGGTTTTGGCGTGCTGAGGACGCTGTCGTCATCGTCCAGCTCCGGGCAGCTGTCGCTGGGGTTCTCAAACTCCACACTGTCCAGGTCCAGATCCTCCTCCTCCACCTCAGGTGGCGGCTCCGCCGGGTCCTGCTCCGAGTCCAGCACCTTCGCAGGCGCACACACACACACATTAAACACCGGTCAGTCACAAGAGAAGCAGAGACACTCTGCTTAAAAAAAAGAAGAAAACGTACCTCATCAGAAACTCTGAAGCGCTTCAGCAGCGCCACCACTCGCTGCTTAAAGTTCTGCTGCTAAAATGCAGAAAGAGAAAACCCACAGAGTCAGTGTGAGACGCAGCTCTGGTTTAGAACCCTGTGTAAAGCTAACGAGGAGAAACACGGCGGTGGTAGCATCATGCTGTGAGGATGGATTTCTTTACAAGAGAAAAGGAAGCTAGTCAGCATTCATTGGCTTCCTAATCAACGTCTCCATGGAAACATACACATTTTCTAGCATAGCGTGACATTTTGTAAAGACACTAAAGAGTATGGGTGTCCAAACAGCTCAAAAGTATCTATGGACCAAAAAAATTTTATTTTTAAAAACTAAAATGACCAAAAGTTTTCTTCTTTTTTTTTTTTTTACCTATTCAACGGTAAATTAAGCAAGAACTATTTTAGTTAAACAAATAATCAGATTTTTCTTTTTTTGCTTTGTTTTGTAGGAATAGGATCGTAGATTAAAAACTTCAAATGTTTTTTCCTTGTTAAGTGAAAGGCATCCAGTTGGCTTATTTATTTAGGGTTCAATTGGAGAAATCTGAAGAAAAAAAATTCATATATTTTCAGCAATAAAAACAGAATAGATTTGAAAGCACTCTGTATTTAAACTAGTTTTAATGCAGCAATTAAAGGCAGATTCGGGCGCACAAAGGTTTACCTTAGAGTAAACCTTTGTTTACTCTAACAAAGGTTAGAGTGAATGAGTAGATAATAAAATTCCTTTTATCATCTACTCATTCACTCTAACCTTTGTTAGAGTGAATAGAGACCTTGGAAAATGTCGCACTAACAGTTTTTACAGTAGATTTAAGTAAATAGATTCACTTTTTTGGCACTGTGTAAACACTGAGGTATCTGTTGTTAAAAGTATTTCTTTGAAGGTTTTTTACCTGCTACGGAGCCCCTAAAGGGACAATGAAGGAAAAAAATAACAAATAATAAACCTTCTCATCTGCACAAGATAGTATCTGGTGCTCTGTCTGAGCATCACACAGAGAAAAAACACAGGCATAAGTTTATTTTCATGTTTCTTTGAGATCTCCGTCTCATTTTGCATCCCTTACCCTGGTGATAGAGGGGGTCCTCACAATGGACCTCCTCTGCTTCTTTGGTTTCCTCACATCAAACTCATCATCCTCAAGATCCTGAAAGATGAAGGAAGAGGAGACAATTTGTCTGAAATCTTCAGGGAAGAGAGAGACATTTCTGTTTTTCTTTTTTCCTCATTATCTATAAACCAATTCATGCCATGACCTTTAAAGGTCAAACTGATCTGCAAATGTCCTCACCTGTCCCTGCACTGCATCATCGCTGGCCTCCTGCTCCGACGAGAAGCTCTCATACTCTTCTTCCGAGTAGTTATCTACGGGACGCAATCGGCAGGAAGGTTAAAGGTTTACACATTATACCTTGTTTTTTTTTTATTTAATTTCCTTAAAAATTATTTGAGATGGGGGAGAAAAGCAGATTCTTGATTTATTTACCATATCAAACATCGTTTACAATCGGTGGGGAAATCAAAAGCAAAAGCCTACCGCTGCATTTGATCTTCTGTCCGCCCTGCAGGGCGGCGTCCTCATGGTCTATCGGCTGACTGGACAGGGAGAAGATCCAGATCTCGGCCACTTTGCCCAGCATGTCTTTCTGGTTGCTGCAGAGAGGCAGAACCTGACCTCCCTCTGTCGGGTGCTGCATCACCTGGGAGATGGGGGGGAGAAAGCTAAATTTAATGCAGAAGAAGGGGCAATAGCAAAAGGATTTCAAATGAATGAAGAAGAAAAAACAAAAAACCACAACAACCTGAAATTGCAATAAATGCAACACTTGATGAAACTTGTAAATAACCATACTGCTCAAAGGTTCAGTAAAAGTCAGACTGAAAGTCTTGATGAATCCTTTAAACGCTACAAAGCAGTTATTTTACAAGAGAAAGGGCAATTATTGATTTTAATTCTAGTGTAAAGGTATTCAAACCCCTTTAATTTGCATCCGTTTTGTCACAAAACATTTATTTATTTAACGTTTGTTTTATAGGTCAACACAAAGTATCCTCCACTGCGAAGTGGAGGAAAAATGGCACGAGGTTTTACAACCCCGACTACCTCCAGTTACGGTGCGTTTCAACATGGCCGCTCCTCTTGACAACATTAGTAAGATGTGGTGGAAACATGCTGACAAAACACACAAGCAAAAGTGCGTCTAAAATCAAAGTTACATGTAGGGACTTCAACTCTAAACAGACCAAATTAAAACTGGTGTTTACTTACGGAAATTAAACCATAAAATGACGTTTGTCAGAGCTACTGGAAACCATGTTTATGGGCGTCGGCGCCATGTTGGAATTCCGACTTTTTGACCAGAACGCTGTTACCTCGGGTCTGAAGTCAAACCCAGCTCCACTTTCCAATTAACTGGAGCGCAGCATTAATCCTGCACTTCACTAATCTGGCCTTTATTAACAAGAAGAAAGCACACCGTCTTCTGAAATGAAACCATTTGAAGACCTGCTCGGAGTCTGCCACAAGGGGATGCTGCAGTCCACCGTCCAAAGTCGGCAGTCCGGTCAGGTGAGGAAAAAAAAAAAAAAAACAGACGGAAAACGAACCCTGCACATCTACCCGGCCTGAATGCACAGCCCTCGGGGTGAAACGCGGTGGTGGCAGCATCATTCTGAGGGGGATGCTTTTCTTTAGCAGCGACTGGGAAGCGCGTCAGAGATGATTGGATGATTAATGGCGCTACATACAGGACAATACTGGAGGACAACCTGAGACTCTACCAAAGCCGGTAGAGACGATATATAAAATACACACACAGTCTTGTAAGGTGTTAAATCACGGGGACCGAACACAGACCACTTCTGTGTGCTGGTCTGTCAGATTTAATCTCAATAAGACACAGTGAAGTATGTGCTTGTAAAATGCCACATTGTAAAAACAGACCAGGGGTGTGAGTACTTTTATCCCCCTGTCCACTCTGAATGATGAACAAGCACAACGCTCGGTCAGGCCTCTTCATTGTGGCCAGTGCACTTCATAAAGGCTGCTGAGGATTTTAGAGGACACTCCGTCAAGATCCAGCCGTGAATAGGAAGGAACGAGTGACGGCAGCTAGATCAGATCTTTATGAGGATTCATGGTACCGACGGCTCCGATCCAATAGGGTTTATTAAAGGCAAGCAGCGCTGGGATTTCTACAGAGGAGCAGAAAAAGCTGCTGGACACATGGACTCCTCTCTCCTCTCATTCCTTTCAATAAAGATTTTGAGACTGAATTACAGCTGTGACATTTAGTTACTGGCTTTCCTATCAACTAATCGATCAATCGGCGAAAACATTGGCACATTCTTTTTAACCACTTGACTTCATTTTATACAATATTACAAATACATAAAAAATATACATATAAGCAAACACTTCACTCCTTTTTTAAGATAAGAAAATAAACATTTTGTTGGCTAAAATGCCAAAACATACTGAACCCTCAGTCTCTGGTGACCTCTGTTAACTTTTTTTTTTAAATCTTAAATATATGAAGATGTATAAAAAAATAAATAAAAAAAATGTTGGAGCACAAGCTAGCACAGTTGATTTACACCATATTTTTGTTATATTTTGTAAGCTAGCTGGTTGACATTTCATGACCTCTGGAAACATTTATTAGTATTTCTAAAACGACAGTGGCACAAGCAAACATTTTTGCTGCACGAATGTTTAACATCAATTTCATTTAATTAAAAGAAGGTGACGGTGAAACTTCACTCAGGTCTCTGAATCCTTTATTAAATGCCATAATTGTAAAGTTTATGTCTTTATGTCGTTTTTTTCTCAACTCCCTGCATAATTCCCGCTAAGTCGTTAGATTCCATGTTTATTTGTCTTCATGTCCAATAAGTGAATTGTAGATTATTTTAAACAAAAGGTCAAATGTAATCAATTTAACTTCTAATTTAAGTGTTAATATTGTGATTCTGAGAATGAATGTATTCATAAATATATCCCTGTCATCCCTGTTTACAATTAAAGAGCCACCGTTTCAATGACATCTTATTGATTTTGAAGAAATGAACAAGAAGCACAACTGTTCAGGTTTCCACTGAAACAGATTGTGTTTCCCGTCGTCCGACGTGGAAACATCAGATTATTGTTTTTTTCTATTTTGTTTATTCGTAGGTGAGGTGTTTCATTCTTTCCTGTGTTGTGGTTCAGCCTGAATGTGTTGCTCTGTGACTAGCAGCACACCTGGGTCGCTGTTTTCTGCTACACTGCACTGATCTGGAGGCATCAGCCAAGCAGCTGCGGGGTGACTGGATGATTCAACAGCGCCACAGCGGAGTGATCTAACGTTTTGTGTTTCATTTCTTCCTCTAAAATCAGGACAAGCCTCTCTGTCCCCCACTGCACCCTGGGGAGGAAAAAAAAAACAAAAACACAACTTTGCCTGTTCAGCTGAAAATGCAAAAAATTTATCTGTTTTGTGGTTTGGTTAAACCACATCCTGTGTTTTTCTTTTTTAAAACCTCACTCTGGCTCAATGGTGTCTTTTTCTTTTCTTCTCTCAGCTGCTGAGCCTTAACAAGCCCCGCTGAGCTTTGGCAGCCATATGGGATCTCCTTTGTGTGTGAGCATCATGTGCACTGAAACTGAGCTCTTTATTTGTGTAATCCATGCTTTCTTCAAGCAGAGGAAACCGTTTTCTGTGATTTTTCTTTTCTTTTTTTTGTGGTGGGATGTGATCAGTTTGTTGAGTCTTTAAAGATACATTGTTAATTTCAGAGCCAACTTTGACTTGTTTCCTGAAATCTGTAGCGGTTTGTGATGTGGGCAGAAGCCCAGGGCGGCATCTCATTTGGGGCGGCATGAGCTACCAGAACCACAATAGTAGTACATATAATTTCAAAAAATGTTTTACTATTAGTTCAATTTAGAAATATCTTATAATAATAGTACGTATTTTCCATAGCATTTATTTTCTTGTATTTGTATTATATACTATAAAATTAATCATATACAGTATGTGTCTTGCTATGGGTGTTTGTAGTATTATTCTAGTTTTTTTTTTAAATCTTTTTCAAATAAAATATAAAAATTTAACTCTTCAAAATGCCCTGGGGTCATTTTTAGAGTTGTTCTCCCAGGGCACCAAAAAGGCTAGGACCGCCCCTGCCTGAAATAATGACACCCAAACAGAATCCTTGAGCACTAATTGTCCCAAATGTTTATTTTTTGAATATTATGTACAAACATACTTACAGCATAAAGATGTTGTTTTACATATTCACTCCTGTATTGTATGACTATGTATGTCTGTATTTAATAATTAATGTAAAATGACAATTTCCACATTACAATACAAACTGTATCCTTTATTAGGATTTTACAGCACAGCGCAGCACAAACAGCTAATCAGGGGAAGATTTTGGGGGAAAGAAAGTTTAAAACGCTTCTAAACCTGGGATGTTTACTAGCACAGTAACAGAAGTCAAGAAGAGACGACACATCATGTGACACCCTGGAAATGCTAACAAAGGATCCAGGATAATTTAGATCTGTCAGACACAAAAGAGTATTCTTCAGATCCATTTGGGCAGGTTTTTCTTGCACTGTGTGACTCTAAAAGGCTAGAAGTCATTAAAGAGGAAGCAGCAGCAGCTGGAGCTTCTAGCACTCATTACGTTTCCCTGATCTTTCTGACACCAACAGCCTGTTAGAGCCGAAACACCTTTCTGCTCCCACCTGGCCGGAGACTGCCAGACAACACAAAGGGCAGCACAGGCTTATTACTGCCTCCTGTTCACACACACACACACACGGACGCACACACACACACTGATATGGCTTACAAAACTTTAAATCTGGAGTGAACAAACTAGAGATGAGTGAGCGTCATAGGAAGCGGTCACACTGTACCTCTGCCATATCGATGGATCCCATGGCCAAAGTCTTGTAGCCCAAAATCGTTCGGTTCTTGTACCTTTTCCGTCTCTGGAGCATTATCTGCAGCTTGTTGCCTTCTCTTTTCAAGAAGTGTGGGTACTAAGAAACAACAAAAACAAGAAAAAAAAGAATATGAAAAACACAATATCTGGTAAAAAGAGACATTTAGATCAACAAGTGGTTTTCTTTTTGCTTAAAAAACCAAAAACAAAACATGAATAATTGTCGTTTCACAGCTCAAAGTAAGTCAATGCTGAAGCAGATACAGGTTGGTATATGACCACATTTAAGTCAGTTTTAGCTAAATTGCAATATAAGGAGTGAATATGTGATAGTGAATTTATTACACAAGAACATGTTAATGCAAAGCCAAACTCAGATAATGCAATGATGAAGAAGATCAAAGTTGGATATAAGAGGAATCCAGCATAAGGTGGAAAGGAATACTGAGAAAAACAGATGAAGTCTGGCAGCATAGACGTGCAGGGAGGAGGATGTTGTATGTTTGACTAATCCAGATCCGATAAGGAGCCAGACGTATTATTATAAATCAAACAAGGATGAATGAATCATAGATAATAGCCAGGATGATTTACTAGAGTGTCGGAGCTCAGTAAAACAGCTCTCAGAAAAAAGCCCTCCGTCTTTCTTCTTCTAAGTTAAGTCTTCTTCTGAGGCATCATGGGATGTTTAAAGTCAACAAATATAGTCCGATTTTAAGAAAGATATTAACTAAATCTCTATAAAATAACAATTACAACTCAAAATAGTAACTTATATTACATTAATATATCCCAAGTGATGAGCCATAAACATGAAGTCTTGGTTAAATCCTCGATAGGGAACCTGCAGTGACTGTTAAGGTTAAAGAAAGTTGCAGATTTTACTCCAACTCCAACCTTATAATCCAATATGGCTGCTTGTGAAAATAACATAAACCACTTAGTTGCTCTTCTGTTGGTCTCCATCTCCGAAAATCAGTGGAACCCAAGATCGATTTATGAAGATAATCATAAATTAGACGGTACTACTAATGTTATTAACGTCATTCGAGTCATTTTTTTAATTTATCATAATGGACAACAGATAAAAGTCTAAGTGGTTTTCAAACGTTAAACTGGAACATACCATAGACATAATATAAGAGTAGACCCCGCATTGGCTGCTCCGGTGCAGGAAATACGGCGGCCATCTTGGAGCGGT